GGAGACCGATAGCACATGCGGGAGAAAAATGCAAGAGAAAAGGGCTCTCATCAAGCCATTGCTTGTCCCTCGGATGGCTGAGATGTTGCTACTGCTTAAGTTAGTAGTAGCTAGTAACTACTACTGCACCCGATCCTGGTCTGCTCTAGCGTGGCAATGATATTACGAGTCTGCAGCTAATAATTACATGGAAAATTCTTAAACTATTATGCGATTCTTATCTCAGTCTCTCAAATAACTATGAGTTGTGGAATGTTGGCATCATTTATACGAACCTACTTATAATATAAGCGCACCGTGATGTTTTAGCATTATTTCGTCTTATGGTTATTTCGAGATTTTGAGAGTGTTTTTGGTCGGTTGGAGATTGCACATGGATGAATAGTATCATGAATGCTAGTAATTCTACGTCTCAACGTACAAATGGTTATGGATTATTGCCTCAGTTAATTATGTTTTATGTAGTGTATTTGCAAACGTGTATGAAAATGAAATACGACTCATAATAAAATCTGATATTAGAACAATATGCACATATTTCGAACAATATGAGCTTTATTCATCAGGCATATATATTGCTGGATATTACAAATAAAAGAATAACAATCAAAATAGTTCAGTGACACTGTCCATACAAAGGACGAGGCACTTACATGAAAAGAAACACACCAAAAGCGAAAGCTGCTCATCAAACCGGCTACATACGTACGTACTTGGCGTGTTCGCGCCGACACGTACTCATGCAGAGCTAGCTTAGCAAGCAAAGACAGTAAGAGACGAATGACAAGCAAAAGAACACGCCGGCATGATGCTCTTGGCTAGCCTAGAGGCACTTGAATCCGGTGGGCACGGTCTTGCCGCAGTGGTTGAGGATGAGGCTGAGGTCGACGGGCAGGTTGAGGTTGATGCCGAGGATTTTGCCCTTGATGGCGGTGCAGAGGCAGAGTGCGGCCTCGAGGTCGACGAGCCCCTCCAGCAGCGGGCAGCATGGCTCCGTGGGCGGCACGCCCACCTTGGCCTTGATCAGGCCCAGAACATTGGCGCACACGCCCAGCTTGAGCGCGTCGCGGGGGCACTTGCCGAACGAGGCCGGCGTCGGGGTCGGCGTCGAAGGGGTCGGCGGCGTGGGGCAGTCGCCACCGCAGGCGCTGGCCATGGCGAACACCACCAGGTTCACGGCCAGGAACAGCGCGACCGAGGCCTTGCCTGCCATTGCTGCACACAGCAGTGTGTGTCCTCTTGACCACAGGCACAGAGCAGAGTGAGCTTCGAGAGGAGCTAGCTCTTGATGGCTCGATTGCTAAGTGCTTGTGATGGTTGGAGACGGTGTTCGGGTGCGCGGTATTTATAGGTGGCCCGTGGCCGCCGGAACGAAGCGCGACAATGCTGCGATGATCAACTAGCTAGTTAGCATATGCATGTGAGGTTGAGATGATGGTGCGGGATGCCGATCTGGATGGGTTCAAACTAGCGAACAAGATTGCTGTAGTGGCGGACGCATGTTCCAGTTTGCGGTTTACGCTACTCTATTTGGGCGATCTTGGCGGACTCGATGTCTTTTTGTAACATGCCATAAGCCAAAATAATCTCGGTCCATAAGAAGGTCGTGGTGCCGATCGATAATGTCGTTGATGATCGGGGAGCGGAGTACAGCATTCAGAGGAATGAAAACCAGCGGAATCATATGACGCAACTCCGCAAGACCAGCTTATCTGTGACTGTGAAGAAGAGAGGTGAGAAAAAGAAAAGCTCGATGCGATGGGCAGGGCCGCAGGGGCAGGGCGAGCCGGCGAGCTACTGTGTCTTTGAGCCCATAGTTTATATGGGTTGGGCGGGACCGTTATTACTACTTAAGCCCATATAAAGGCCCACTTCTCTGATCTCATTTGAAAATCCTTGATGGGCTAAAACCACACCGCTGGCGTGGACGGCGGCCCGTGAAATCTGGACTGCTATTTGATGCATCGTTCATTCTCCCTCATCGTTCATCAGGCAAGTCTGAGATCCACTAAAAAAAAATTCAGGCAAGTCTGAGTAATCATTTTTTATGAGGTGGAAATGTTTTTAAGAAGAAAGGAGTTCTTTGTTAGAAAAAGAATTTTTTATTCCGAGCTTTGCAAGAGTTTTGTACACAACCATTTATTATTACAATGTTCGAAACTCTAGCGAAAAAGAAGCTCTCAGAAAAGCAGCCGTAGTCTCCAATAGTCGACGTACCAACTTTAAATTGGGATTGATCGGCCTCCTTCTAAAGACCAATTTAAGTAGTTTATCCCCGCTAACGCTCTTCCAAAAGTAATATTAAGTGCTGTAGTGCTGATTACATATGCAACTGTGATATATTTCTTTCTTCTAATATTATATAGAGATGGATACTAATCTTTAAGTGTGGCATTTCCAAACCATTTATCCTCCCAAAGCCTTACTGGTTCACCTGAGTGAAGGTTAAAGGTAGAAAACTGTAGAAATTGAAAGGAGTTCTAGGCTCGATTTACTCTAGATGATTCATGTATTCTCTCTATCCTAAAATAAATGGACATCTCGCTTCTTGAGAAGTCAAACTTTTTTTAAAATTTGACTAAAAATATAGAAAGTAGTATTAATATTTTTATCTTCAAACAAATTTATTATATAAGTATATATTCCATGCTCAATTTAATGATATTTATTATACATTAATTATAAAAGTTACTATAATTTTGTATATATTTAGTCAAACTTAAAAAAGTTTGTCTCCTCGAGAAATGAGACGTGCATTTACTTTGGGACATAGTGAGTAATTATTAAATGCCTATAGAATAAAAGAATAGAATTGTGCATTGTATTGAAAGTGATTGTTTCGTTTACGTTTCCTTGCATTTTAGATTCCGGTAAATAACAAAACAAGGATGGCCTCAACAAAGAGAAAAGACAAAAAAATGATGCATCGTTCCAGGAAACATTCGCACTGGATCCTGCGCTAGAGTTGCAGTTACTTGGCATCTGCAACCGTGCCCTCACACCACCTTCACATGGCACGAAGCGATCAAATGAGATGAAGATATCAAACCCAGCGCGTACACCCGTGCAGTTACCCCCAGGCGCGCGCGCGCACTAGGACGTTCAGCGAAGCGTCGCGTCGCAACTCGCAACTCCTCGAAACCTCACCCGCCGCGGGGCGCCGGTGCTCAAAAAAGCCCCACAAACCGCCGCGCTACTATACTGCACAGGCACTCGACCCTGGCGTTGCGACATCGCTCCGCTCGTGGCACTTGCGCGAAACCGCAACAGCGACAACGCGCCCACAAACCGGCGGGCCGCGCCCATGGACATGCCGCCGGCGACGCAGGGACGGCGGGTGAGCGCTGTGGTGGACCGGAATCTCGACGAGCTCTGCGCCTCCCTCGACGACGCGCTGTCGTCCAGGCAGCGGAGCCCCTACGCGGAGAAGCAGCTCCACGACAAGATCAAGGCGAAGACCGACTTCCTTCGGCCGCTCCTGGCCGCCGAGGCGGAGTGCCACGGCGGGGCGCGCCCGGTGCGCCTGGCCGAGGCCGAGGCGCGCTTCGCCGTCCTCAAGGCCACGTTCGATCAGTGGGCGCAGCGCGCAGTCGTCGCTGCACCTGAACCAGTCGAGGAGGAGGAGGAGGAGGAGGTGGTGGGAGAGCCTGAGGAGGAGGAGGCCGACTGCTCGGGGTCCTCGCGGTCCACGTGCTCCTGCACCGACTCGTGCCAGGAGGCGACGGAGGGGGACGCCAAGCGCGATGACGTCGTGGAAGCACGCAACAAGGAGGAGGCGTCGGATGTCATCGCCGAGGACAACGACGCCGAGGACGAGACCGCGGAAACACGCAGGGAGCTGGCCACGGATAGTGTTGCCAACAAGCGGGAGGCCATGGGAACTCGAGAGGAGGTGACGCTAGACGTCATTGCCAAGAAGCGCGACACCGATCGCGAGGCCGCGGCGGAGACGGGGAAGAGGACCGTCCAGCGGCGCTGGTGGAGGCAGAGTGCTGCTGCCTGGTGCGGTGCAGCCTGCGTGCTCGCGGTGGTCGCCGTCGGGTTGGCGGTGGAGTTGGCCGCGGTGGCTCACCATAATGTCAATGTTTACGTTGTTCCGACGTAAAGAAGACAAAGAAAACTAGATCAGGCAAGTTTTATCTTAGTTCTTTAACTCTTCGCTGTTCGTGCCGAGGTGCTCTTGTACTCTTGTTTTGCTGCAAAACTTGCTTCGACGGCCAAGCCGATGGCTACTTACATTTCTGTGTGATTCGTGTCGCTATTGAGCACCACGTTCTCGGTTCTGTGGGGTACTTTCAGTAATCCAGTTCTGTTGACATGACGATAAGGATTACAGATTTACTGTGTCCCATTTTTATTTGGCTTTGACGTGACGAAATGATAGGTAGTAGTTCTATATCAAACATATCAATATGACACAGACATGCAACGTTATCTTGTAGTGTTGATTCCATTCCATGTATGGAATGTTTACCTCACTCACAGGCTGTCTATGCTTGCCTGAAGAACATAGGAGTACTTGGGAATCCTGTTCTATGGCCTATCGGTGATGTATGATGCTCTGTACACTCCATTTCGGATTTTTTTACCCGTTAATATCTTTTACTATATCATCAACATAATTCAGAGACACTTTGAACACAAATCCCTTGATACAAGTTCAATGTTCTAAACTTGCATATTTTTTGAATAATTGTTGGTCAAAGTTTGTATAAGTTGACTTTTCTCTGTTTGAAATGTGATTGTCATTCCAAGTCCAAGATAGAGGAAATATCTGTTAAACTGACAGGCCATTGGAAAGTAGTACTGTTAGGAAATCCTGTGGGTTTATACAACTCTGAAGTCTGAACTGCAAATTCCTGATGAAACCTTTCTATTTCTAGATAGATACGATACTGTGTGCTATTGAGAGTGAAGCTATACCCAAATGCGAATTGAATGAAGAAACAATTTCGGTGGAGAGTGCAATGGTGATAGTGGTTGTAGAAACATACATCTGCCTAAACCTTGATGTCATTCATCAAGTGTCCAATGAACACAGATGACATGAAGACTAACACTACAAACATCAGTGAGAATCCTTCTTGTTGTTGAGATGATCTTGTTTCTTCAAGCAGTTCCTGAAACAAGAATGAGTTCAAATGTTCATGTATTTGTCAGTAAAATACTTGTAGCCAATCCTTACGAAAATTCAGGGCCATAGATTCTATGATATATATAAAAAACTTTAGTAATATTATGTTCGTCAGCGTTCCAAAGTTATCAGCTTGCGTCAGGAGGTTGCTGTTATAATGCAGACATGCATATAGTGTGGGCACCAGAATCAGTGCTAACTGTAAAGCACGTCATTTTCTGTTTGCATACCTGTACAGCATCTCACACAAACTTTTCTAGTTAAGACAAACATTAGGAACATGTGACCAGGTATCGAATGCAAAATTGAAAATCAAAGATAATCCCTTCAAGGAGCCGAGATAACCAGTCCTCAACAACTGAATGGTTAACTTTGTTTGATAACAAACTTTGACGCTTAAGTTTTCAAACTATTTATCCGAAGGGAAAAATTTACCATTTTGTATTGAAGCTTCAGTTTTTCTTCTACTGCAATTGCACATTCCTTCTCTTCATCCATCCTTGATTTTACAGGGGTAACCTGAACAAACACATACAGTAGAAAACAGAGTGAACTGATGGATTACCTACCTTGGTAATTGGTAATTTTCTTTATATAAAGGCAGTAAACCATACTGGATTAATTGGCAAAACAAGAATCTACGCAGTTCAGGTGCACAGCTACTCATTAGGTATTTTGTTTTCATGATCACGCAGACGAGCTGTGTTACTGTGGGTGTATCATTTCATTAATAAGAAGAGAATAAATTCAAGGGAGAGGGCAGGAACACCCTCACCCCAGACACACACTAAGAGAAAAAGAGCAGAATCACCACAAATAAGCTTTAAACAGCCGGCTTACTCTAAGGACAGAACTAATAATTTCAAGGTAAGTGACCTAACTACTCATTAGGCATCACAGTTCTGTAATGACAAGTGACAGTGACATTGTACCAAAATGAGCAAGTACATCTGTGACACTGACAAATTCACAAATACTCCCTCTCTCCCAAAATATCTGTCATTCTCACTTCCCGACAAATAACTTTGACTAATTTTAAATAAAAAATATTAATATTTATGATACATAATTAATATCATTATATAAATCCTTAAATTTATTTTCATAATAAATTTATTTGAAGATACAAATGTTGTACGTATTTTTTACAAATCTAGTCAAATTTGTGGCACGGTGTCGGGTACCTTAGGACGGGTACCCCGAGCAAATATCAAAGGGGGCACTTAAGTCCCATCAAAATACAAAGCTAGAAGGTAAGCCGTGGGCCCCTCATCCGCCACGTCCGAGCCCGCCAGAAGCTCTCGCCTCATCTCGAGCCTCGCATGAGAAGGTCTCGGCCCCGACGCAATCTCCGCCTCATGGCGAGGCTCTTCACGGAAGGCCTCGGCAAGGAGTCCGATCTCCGTCTCGCGAGGCTCCGCCCTCCGTCTCACGTGAAGGCCTCATTCTCCGTGATTAAGCGCGAGGCCAGCTTATCCATAGTCCGTCGCCCCGCTTCGACCGACCGACCCTCCCGACAAAGACGTCATGTCCCATTAATACTTCAACCACTCCCGCAATCTCAAATGGACGACGGCTTGACACCTGCTGAGAATGGCCGACGGACTGAGGTCGCATCAACGCCCACATCGCACTGTGCCCCATACCGGCCGGGATTACCGGCCATACATCGTGTTCGACGTTGTGCCCACGATCGGCGCCCATCACGACTGCAGGCCCCGCGATCCCGCCTCGAAAACAACATCGCGCGGACTACTTGGCCCGGTCATCACCGCCTCAAGCCAGCGCCGGATCAGCCGCCTCTCGAGCCTCGGCACTATACACCAAGGTCTCGGCTATCTCGGGGTTCGTGCTCGCCGAGACCCCCATCACTGCGGTGCACCTCGATCGACCGAAGCCTCGGCCTCACGCGCCGCCAATCCACAGCGATCCGCGTCCCGCCGTCGCACTCGCTCCGAGGTAGCCCAAGCTCCCATGATGCATGTGGTCGGACGTGACCAGCCACGTCGCCCAGTGCTCCAAGGACGGACCACTCCGGCGACCACGCCACCACAGAACAGGCCACGGGCTCGGACACACCGCCCAAGTTGGCACGACGCCAGATAGTCGAGATATGTACTGTCCTTATCCTCCTTCAACTATAAAAGGAGAGGACTTGGGCCCTTAGAAAAGGAAAATAGGGAGAAGACCTGGTAGCTCACACACATACACATCCCAGCCGCCCGAGAGCAACGTCTCAAGCAGCCCACACGACACCTCGTCGAGACACAGGATTAGCTCCTCTCTCCACTGTGCTTGTAACCCCTACTACTAGCACTTCGGTGCAAGGAATACAAGATCGATCTCGGGGACCGGACGTGGGGCATCGATTGCTGACCAAATATAAACCTTGTGTCTCTTTGCATCACCATCCGGGATTAGGGGCACGCAATTCAAATTCACTAGTTGGTAGAGGACCCCGGTCTAAAACACCGACGAGCTTACGCGCCAGTAGGGCGCGTCAAGTGTCGATTTAAATCATCCCAACAAGTTCGGATGGCGACCCCCGTCGACCCGTTATGTCTCTTGCAGACGGTGATCTTGTTCGGGGCCTAGAGTTCATGTCTATGGGGCATGAGTATGACATGGTACTCCTCACGCCCGAGCCCCACCAACCGACGGCGACGTCACGCACCGGCAGCCTAGGCGTAGGCGGCGCCCGGGCGGCCGCTCTCGCCGTGCTCGCCAGGCACGACGTGAGCAAGACCACCCCGATGCTACTCGAATCCAGGATGGCACGCCGCTCCCCGCCGACATCCTACGACCAGCTATTGGCACAGGCTCCCTGGTTGGGGACCTGTCTAGCCTGAGCTTGGACGAAGGAAAAATGCCGGTGGCACATGGCGACGCCTTATCACCAAGCTCCGCTCCACCACTCCTCAAGAGCCGGTTTGGGCCAAGTGAGCAAAGTCCGCGACGGCACCATCCTCATACCCCTTTGGGTTGAGAAATGCCGCCACCTCTTATGCTTATGCTTACGCCCGCCGCTCACAAGGATCCCCGAGACGCCACTAGCGCTTCACTCTCGACCTGGGCACCCACGCCAACTCCTCGGAGGAGGACGAGGCATGGCCCGGAGTGGATTTCTCTCCACGACTCCTACGACCACAGGGCTATCGCCGTTTCACAGCATAGCGACTCATCGCTTGACGGCTACTCCGACTCCGACAACGAGGGCTCGGGATGTCGAGGGCGGGCGAGGAAGACGAGGGGGCGGGTAGCTATTCCCCGCTTCGCCCAGGTACAGGCGCCGCCACACCTCCGCGCATTGTCCTACCGGCAGCACGGAACGAGAACCCTGCTCTTGCGCGACCTCAACGTCCAGACCTAGAACAGCTCCGTGAGCTCCGGTGCCAAGGTCGAACAGGACCGACTCCTTCTACAAGAGCAGCTTCGAGACTCTCTCAAACAGGAGCAAAGCGAGGTCGCGGCGAAGGCGGAGGAGCCCGACGAAGGGCCCGTGATGTACATCATCGCATCCCGACGACAAAGGGAGCGAGCAACCCCCAGTCTTCAATCGCGCCAGCCAGAACGTCGCGGCCGTGGCAATGCTGGTCCGCGCAATGCCCGAGCCTTCTACCACGAGGGGGCGGCGGGTCCACGGCGAGCTCCGAGAGCTCCCGAGAGATCGCCATGTTCAAGAAAGCCGAGAGTTCCACCTCCCGACGGCAGACGGGCGTCTCGAACCTGCCTGCAGCACCGCCTCCGGCAAGACAGAAGGAAGCCTCGGCTCGTCCCGAGCCCGCTCGAGCACCGATAGCCCACAGGGCCCCCGTATCGGACCACCTCGACAATCGGCGCGAGGTGCGGGGGAAACCATGAGGTGGTCAAGCAGGCGACGAGACCACGACAAATGAGGGGCCCGCTGGGGCTACCACCCACACCGAGGCGGCCGCTATGATGGGGAGGACCGCAGTCCTTCCCTCGAACCGCCAGAGCCCTCGGGTCTTGGCCCAGGGCCATCCGCTACGCTGCTTTTTTCCCCGCCCGATTTCAAGCAACCACCAATCTCGCCGAAATGCACCATGCGAGACCAACCCCAACTATGGCTTGCCGATTATCACTGGCCTACCACCTAGGTGGCGCGGATGATGACCTGCTCATCATCCATAACCTCCCCTTGCTCTTGTCGACTCGGCGTGAGCCTCGACTCGAGCACCTCCCTCCCTCACAAATCCACGATCGGGCGCGACTTGGTTAGGATCTTCGTCGGGAACTTTCAGGGCACATACGTGCGCCCTGGGAACTCCTGGGATCTTAAGAGCTGCCGCCAGAAGCCGGACGAGTCTCTCCGAGACTTCATCCGGCGCTTCTCCAAGCAGTGCACCGAGTTGCCCAGCGTCGGCGACTCGGAGATTGTCCAGGCTTTCCTCTCCGGCACCACCTGCCGAGACTTGGTTCGAGAGTTAGGTCGGAACGTGCCGCGCTCCGCTGCCATGCTCCTCGACATCGCTACCAACTTCGCCTCGGGTGAGGAGGCTGTCGGAGCCATCTTCCCCGACAGCGACACCAAGGGTAAGCCGAGGGACGAGGCCCCCGAGGCCTCAGCCTCCCACCTCCCCAAGAGAAAGAAAAAGGGGCGCCTGGGGAAGCAGGAGGTCCTGGAGGCCGATCTGGTCGCGGCCGCAGAACGCAAGAATCCTCGAGGCCCCAGAGGCCCTAGGCCTTTCGACGACATGCTTAAGAAACCCTTCCTTACCACCAAGGCCTGGTCAAGCATGCCCTCGAGGATTGCTCCATGCTGTGGCGTTACTATGCCAGGCTTGGGCTCCCCGACGACGCCGCCAAGCAGAAGGGCGCCGGCGACTGGGACGACGACAAGGACGACGGGTTCCCCGAGGTATGCAACGCCTTCATGATCTTCGGGGGACCCTCGGCGTGCCTTACGGCGCGGCAGCGCAAGAGGGAACGCCAAGAGGTCTTCTCGATCAAGGTGGCCACCCCCTAGTACCTCAACTGGTCTCGGGAGGCGATCACCTTCGATCGAGACGACCACCCTGACCATGTTCCGAACCCCGAACAGTACCCACTGGTCGTCGACCCGATCATCGGCAACACCCGACTCTCCAAGGTGTTGATGGACGGAGGCAGCGGCCTCAATATCCTCTACGTCAATACCCTAGAGCTCTTGGAGATCGATCGGTTGAGGCTCCGAGGCGACGTCGCACCCTTCCACGGCATCGTGCCAGGGAAGCGCACACGACCCCTCGGGCGCATCGACCTTCCCGTCTGCTTCGGCACTCCCTCCAACTACCGCAAGGAAGTCCTTACCTTCGAAGTAGTCGGGTTCGGGGGAGCCTACCACGCCATCCTGGGCGGCCGTGCTACGCCAAGTTCATGGCAGTCCCCAACTATACCTACCTCAAGCTCAAGATGCCAGGCCCCAGCGGTATCATCACGATTGAGTCCACATACGAGCATGCATACGACTACGACATCGAGTGCATCGAGTACGCCGAGGCTCTTGCGAAGGCCGAGAC